CGAAACGTCAGCCTCTCTGCTCCTATGATGCTGCTTGGCCTGCTGTGTTCATCCAGCCCTGCACCTTGTTGTCTCGGATTCTCCAGCATCTGCAGTTCCTACTACCTCTTTGTATTTCTGTTCGTTTTTGGATTGTGGGCCAAATGAGAAAATGACTGCTTTAAATCAAAGAAACTATGGAAGATGATGTAGTTTTTAAAAAAGTGATTGGAACTCATTGTGATTTGTATTTACAGTGTTGCCTTGTTGAAACTGTAGGGGAGGATTGCTGGACACATTAGAACCTTGGATGAGAGATTAGGCCAGCTTTGTCCAGATACAGTCAGATGAATATTTTTGGCAAATCACGACCAGTTGCGTGGATCAGGAGTGTTTAGCATGAGGACAACTCTTGGTTAAGCACCTGGGCAGGTGGATGCACAGGAGCAGAAAGCACCCAGACTCTTAAAAAATGCTATATTTCTTTCATCCCTTGCTTAGAAGTAGCAGAAAATTGAAAGGTAGCTCGCTACTCGTGCTCACAACTACTCTAGAAGTAGCTGCCTCTAAACAGTGACTGAGAGACTGAACAATTAGTATGCCAACTGCTCTATACCTTCAAGTGAAGAACTGTAGGAACTCGGGATGAAGATGCTTCGAGATTGGAAGGGCTGAAAGATGCAAAAGAACAACTTATTCAATCCTGGGGACTGGTGCTGATGAACTGAGTTCCCCTAGTTTCTTCTCTCCACCATAACAGCTACATTTTTTGGTTTGTCTGTTTGCATGTGCGTTTTAAAACGGGCTAAGATTTAAATGACAGATAGAAGTTGATTATTCATATGTTGTTTGCCTGTGATTAGAATGGATTTATCAGTTTCTTGCTTAGTACAGCAACCTGTTCAGTGTTTTCTGCTAACCAGAGCTGATCAGACAGGAAAATTGCTGGCTTAAGTGATTAGGTTCATTCATTAACTTTGTGGGAGTAGTGGGGCTAAAGTATCAGTGAGCTTCCCAAAGCGTTCTGTGACAATAGTGTGATGGCTGGAGGGGCTTTGGCCCAAGTCAGGATGTGGACAGCAGGGTTATGAACGAACCCAATAATGTATGTAGGTGGGGCACGAACTGTGCAGTTGTAAAGTACAATACCGACCGGTCCGCGTACTTAAAACCCTGAGAAAGCAACGCTGAAATATTCACCTTCTTCATCACCCCTTTGTTTGATCGAGGTCTGATTTGCGTTTTGTGAATGTGACCACGGACGAGTAAGAGGATATCGGACAACCTGAAGAGTTTGTAGGTGACGTTCCCAGTTGGTGGAGCTGTGTAATCCGACTCATTTTCATTGCAGTTCAGGAGTTCCTCCGATAGGAGATCTAAACATGGAACAAATCATAGTACGTTTACAAAATGCATCAATTACTTTTATGCTCTCAGGAATTTTTCTGATGTAATTAGACTGATTAGGTAATAATCAGACAGCCCCAGGTTATAAGTGTGAACTTAATCTACAAAAAGACTTGAGAATAAATCATCATTCAAAGAAAATGAATACGGCCTTCTCCAATTCTGTTCTTCACTATCTCTGTGAGCATGTGGAATCAATCTATTGTTAGCGGGCAATGGTTTCCTGCCTGGCTCCTGACCACACGATTCTTTTTCTTTAATTATTTCATAGGATATAGGTGTCACTGGAAATGCCAGAATTGTTGCTCATCCTAAATGCCCTTGAACAGAATGGCTTGCTTGCACATTCCAAAAGTCAGTTACAAAATCAACCACATTCCTATGGAGCTGGAGCCAGGTCTACATCCGCCTGGTTAAGTGGGGGGTCATTTTCCTTTCCTGGAAGTCATCGCTGGTCTAGACGGTGCTTTACAACAATCAACAACAGTTCTAAAATTTATATATCCCTTTATAAATCCCTTCCAGATTTATTAAACGAATTTAAATTCCACCAACTCATTGGATCCCCACAGTGCCGAAAGAAACTATTCAGCCCGTTGAGTCTGCACCAACCCTTCGAAGAACATCCCAGCCAGACCCAGACCCCCACCCTATCCTCATAACCCTGCATTTCCCATAGCTAATCCACCTAGCCTGTACATCCCTTGACACTATGGGACAGTTTACCACAGCCAATCCACCTAACATGCACACCTTTGGACTGTGGGAGGAAACTGGAGCACCTGGAGGAAACCCACACAGACACAGGGAGAATGTGCAAACTCCACACAGACAGTCACCCGAGGGTGGAATCAAACCTGCTCCTCGGAGCTGTGAGGCAGCAGTGCTAACCATGAGTCACCGTGCCATTGCTAGTCAATGGTCAATGCTACCTCGGCTCGCTCTCTCTCTGTCTCTCTCTCTCCCACCCTCTTGAAGCTGACAGCCTGAAGGTACAGGGAAGTGCCTCAATCTTTCCTTACCTGGCTTCTGCTTGGAACCCGTGTACTTTGATGTCTTCCTCTAGCAGCTTAGAGTGGGGTAGTTTGCTGTCACAATTCATGATTCATTTTGGAAGGTCGAATTTGAATGCAGAATACAGGGTTAATGGCAGGATTCTTGGCAGTGTGGAGGAACAGAGGGATCTTGGAGTCCACATCCATAGATCCCTCAAAGTTGTGACCCGAGTTGATAGGGTTGTAAAGAAGGCACATGGTGCGTTGGTTCTCATTGGCAGGAGAATTGAGTTTAAGAGCCGCGAGGTTACGCTGCAGCTCAATAAAACCCCAGTTAGACCACACTTGGAATATTGTGTTCAGTTCTGGTCACCTCATTATAGGAAAGATGTGGAAGCTTTAGAGACGGTGTAGAGGAGATTTACCAGGATGCTGCCTGGACTGGAGGGCAGGTCTTATGAGGAAAAGTTGAGGGAGCTGGGACTTTTCTCATTGGAGCAAAGAAGGATGAGAGGTGACTTGTTAGAGGTTTACAAGATAATGAGAGGCATAGATAAAGTGGAGAGCCAGAGACTTTTTCCCAGGGCGGAAATGACTATTACGAGGGGGCACAATTTTAAGGTGATTGGAGGAAGGTATAGGGGAGATGTCAGAGGTAGGTTCTTCACACAGAGAGTGGTGGGCGTGTGGAATGCGCTGCTGGCAGTGGTATTGGAGTCAGATACTTTAGAGACTTTTAAATGACTCTTGGATAGGCACATGGAGGATAGTAAAATGTAGGGTATGCAGGGTAGATTGATCTTAGTGGGATAATAGGTCAGTACAACATCATGGGCCAAAGGGTAGGTACTGTGCTGTACTATTCTATGTTCTACGTTCACAACCCCCTTTCCTTAACTAGGTCTAAGGACCACCGTGGTCAACAGTGATGGATTAAAACAACTGGCGAGTCCTCATGAGAATAGGCTGGTCTTAAACAAGGCGCAGCTTGTTGCATGATAGCAATCGAATTACGTGACTAAGTCAGATATTGTTAATGGGATCATGTGGAGACACTAGAGCTATGGCTCACCGCTCTGCAAGGCTCCATGTTGCTCTGTCTTTCCCCATTATTATAGTTCATTCACAATATGTGGGCACTACTGGCACGGCCAGTTTATATTGCCCATCCCTAATTGCCCAAAGTAGAGTTAAGAGTCAGCTCTGGGTCTGGAGTTAAAACGTAGGCCAAACAGGGTAAGGATGGCAGTTTCTTTCCCTGAAGGACAGTTACTGGATCAGACGGAACTTTGTAACAATCGATACCATTAGATTTTTAATTCCAGATATTTTGGTGAATTTAAACTCCTTCATGGTGAGAACTGAACCTGTCTCCAGGTCTCTGGATTGATAGTCAAGTGATAATACAATCATGCTGTCAAGTCACCATCACCTTATAATGTCATCAGATTGGGTGGAGCTTAAGACAGTCACCAACATTAACCCTTTCAGATCCATTATCTTACACAACACCCAATCCTACTCACTCACACCTATCCACATCCTACACACCCACCACTCCCACTCATATCCGTCTTCCTCCAACTAACACTTGCCCTCCTAAGCTAACCTAAAAATAGTACAGCTGATGTTAGAGATGGATTACACCAAGTGCCATAGAAACATAGTGTATTTCAGCATATAAAAATATATCATGCCCTGTAACCTCACTTCACCACCAATTCGTTGGCACTGACTGTATAAGTTTGCTGCTTGTTTTTGGACAGCTGCATTATTAGCAATTTGCTTAAACAGCTGATCTGTATCAATGGCATGCAACCCTTCCTTCTCAATGTTACATTATACGTCATACTTTAGATAAACTCCAGGCAACAGTTTAATATGAAGGAAATTGTTGTTCTTACGTGGCCGTGCATTCTGGGCTGTCATGTACCAGGAGCCAGTGACATTCCCAACTGTTGTGGAATTCTTCAAGACTGTAGGATTTCTATCAGGTGGCATTGGGCCGGGAGCTGGGCTTGGTTCTTGGGTTACTGGTGGTTGATCCACTTGACGTTTGGGACTTGGCTTTAACAGTTCACACTGCATCTTCATAATCTGCCCAACGGGGTCGAGCTCCTTAGAGAGGGGTTTAGATGCCTTCCTTTTCCACCTTGGGGTGGTGGCTTTCTGCACTTGGCTACTGACTGGTTCAGGAGATGGTGATCGAGGGGTGTCTGGAATGACATCTTTGGGACTCTGACAGTCCGGTTTCTCCGGGACGGATTTTGGGTCAGTTTGAACAGTTTTCATGTGGCTTTCCGTAAAATCTGTGTCAATGATCAGTCGCTCGCAGTCAGAATCGCTGTCAACGAGGCTGTTATCCTTTTCAGATGCCTGTCCCTTAGTGAAGGCCACTTCATCGGAATCTGTGCCTGGTAATGTGCCTCCTTCACTTTTCTTCTCTTTCATAGGGTCCAATTTCATTTGGTTCTTTTGCTGGTCCGATTTGCACCTCTCCTCACAGTCAGTCATCTCATCCGTGGTCGAGTCTCTGTCACAGCTGGCGGTGGACATCCTGAAGTCAAGTCGCTTCTGCTGCATTATCTTCTTGGTTATCTCCAGGGGATCCGACTTCCCAACGCTCGCCTCCTTCTTACTGCCCCCTGGAGAACACCGAGGAGCACAGGTCATCGAGGCACGTTTACCCATGTCTGCACATTTTGTGGTTGCTACACTTGAAACGATCGATGCAAACGTCTCCAGTTCACTGAAGTCAGCGGCAAGATCAAAGTCTTTGCTTTCACACGTGCTGATGTTTCTCTGGTCTCGGGAAGGAAGGTCCTAGATTTTAACAGGAGGAAAACAAGACCCTGTGACTGGGAACAATTTACACAGTCAGAAGAAACACTGGCTTCACGAGAGCAGCTCGGGCAATCTTTTCACTTGTAAAGATATCTATCAGTTATTTCAATTCTATTGGAGCACGTCAGTGCGTCGCTTGGGAGTAGGGGAGCTCTCCCTAATGTCATGTCTAATACGTAATCCTTTAATCAACACCACAAACAGTTTAACTGCTCAAAGACTGAACATGCTCGAGTTCATAGAGTCATACAGCATGGAAACAGACCCTTCGGTCCAACCAGTCCATGCCAACCATGTTCCCAAACTAAATCAGTCCCACCTGCCTGCTCCTGGCCCATATCCCTTCAAATGTTTCTTATTCATGTACTTATCCAAATGTCTTTTAAACATTCTAACCGTACCTGCATCCACCACTTCCTCAGGAAGTTCATTCCACACACAAACCACTGTGTGTGAGAAACTGCCTCTCATGTCTTTTTTTAAAACCTTTCCCCTCTCACTTTAAAAACATGCCCCTTGTCATGAAATTCCCCAGCCTGGGGAAAAGACACCTGCTATTAACCTGATCTATATCTATGATGATTTTATAAACACCTATTCAATTCCTACATCGAGAAAACACTGGAATAGCACAATGGTTACAGTGCAGAAGGAGGCCACACGGTCTGCACACGAGCATTATGACTTTGTACTTTGTGCCAGCCTTTTCCCTGTAACCTCTGCATGTTATTTCATTAGAAACAATCTAACACCCTGTTGAAAGCCTCATTTGAACCTGCTTTCACTAAACTTCCACACAGTGCATACCATACCTGCACCACATCCTGTGTGAAAACGTATTTGCACAGTTCACATTTGCTCCTTTTGCACATGACTTCCAAATCGCACCCTCTTGTTTTTTTTTGGTCCTTCTAAGAGTGGGAACAGTTTCTCCTTATCTGACTTATCCAGACCCCTTCAGGATTTTGCAAATTTCTAACACATCTCCTTGTAGCAGTACTGTCTATGCCAATCTATTCTCATCGCTGGAATCATTCTTGGAAACCCCTCCTGCACACTTGCCAATCTATACACATCCTTCCTAAAGCAGGGCACCCAGAATTGTGCCCAATACTCCAGCAGAGGTCAACTCATGACTTTTGTAACTGCAGCATAGTCTCCCAGCTCTGGTATTACAAGATGATCTAATGGAGCGGGTGATGCTGCTGTGGCTTGAAGAGGTGTATTTTGTCCTGGTTTGTTTTAAGAGAGGGATTGAATGAGAAGGTCTGTGGTAATGTAAAAAGCTTGTGAGGCCTTGGGTTTTTTTGTTAAATTGGAACAATAGAAGCAGCCTGAATGGGTGTGGCCAGCTGTCTCAGACCAGGATTTCTAGTTTGTTTTTAGCTTTTAGATTCGGCAGAAGTTTTAAAGAAATAGAACCTATATTTTCCCCCCTCTCTCAGTTACAGCTAGAAGCTGGGGTTTCTCTTCCTACTGTGAATGTTGCACGTGAGAAAATCAGATTTCTGAATTTGCCTTTTTGCCAAGGGGAGAGTTTATGGGATGTTACTATATTGGAACAGGTAATTAGTAATAGTTACTGTATCTGTTATTCTGTTACGTTTTCCAGTAGGGTTAAGTTATTCTAAATTCTTCTTTCTTTGGTTGTATTTTAACTATAGTGTTTGATAAAATTGTGCTTTGCTTAATGTTGAGTAGTTTGACCAATCAAATTACATCTGGAAGACAGTACTTTACAATGACATTTAAAATAAGAAAAAGATAGGGTCTAGGCTACCTTCTTTACATATTTTGAGGTGGCGTGGTCTAGTCCACAACAAAGACCATTTAAGATTACGAGGAGATTTGATTGGGTTGAGGCACAGAAGCTAAATCAATATACAAGGTGTCCAAAAGTAGAGTTTTTTTTAAATTCACCCAAGGGAAGTTGCTCAAAAACCTATCACATTAGGCTTTGAGGCTTTAGGGATGCATGAGGCGAGCAAAGTGAATGCTTACATGTGCTGTCAGGAACTAATTTTCCTGCAACAGGGTGCCAGCCTATTGTCAAAGGCTGGACCTTGAGAGGTGCCCTCCACATCAAACATGACCAGCTGATCACCCTATTCTTTGGTGAGTTAGCAATGTACCTTCTCTGGTCATTACACCCTGGAGTTTACATACAACCACACAAAACAGGAGCCAAAGTGGATCATTCGGCCGCTCGAGTCTGCTGCAATAAAACCACGGCAGCTCTGGTTGTGTTTTGATTTCCACATTCACATCTACCCTCAGTAACCTTTGATTTCCTTCTCTAACAAGAATCTACCTGAAGTCAGAGTTGTACAGCACGGAGACAGACTCTTTGGTCAAACTCATCCACGCCGACCAGATATCCCAAATTAATCTAGTCCCATTTGCCAGCATTTGGCCCATATCCCTCGAAACCCTTCCTATTGCCTTAAACCTACCTTTGTCTTTAAAGTATTTAATGACCCCTCCTCTAATGCTGTCAGAGGAAGAGAGTTCTAAAGTTGCAAAACCTTCAGAATAAACAATTCTCATCTCTCCCTAAATTGGGCTACACCTAATTTTGAACTACGCCCTCTACTGCTAACACTAACTCTAAACCACAAGAAAGAACTCATCAAGACTACTCACAATCTTATAAACTTCAATCAAGTCACCCCTCGTTCTTCTAAACTTAGTTCAGTTTGGCCCACCTTTCCTCGTAAGACAACCCACTCATTCCAAGCATCTATCTAGCAGACCTCCTCCAAACTGTCAGACATTAGTCAAATATAAGACTTGGTTTGAGGTTGTCTTGCATATTAAAAAAGAAAAAATCTGGAAACAGCACTTAAAATAGATGTTTAAAATCAGTTTGTGGAAATATGAACAGACAGACAGTTACGGGTAAATAGTGGTTGACAGAAATATCCTAACCATCCTGAGTGCTCTCACTGACTTGCTCACTTCTTAACAAGGGATTTTCAAAAGCCTGAAACACAATTGAAAAGAACATAAGCAGCAGGAGTAGACCATTCAGCCCATCGAGCCTGCTCCACCATTCAATACAGTCAGGACTGATCTTGGGTTTCAACTCCATTTTCTCATTTGCTCCCCATTTCCCGACAATGTTCCCTCTAAGAGGTTTTGAGTGCTGCTGGGAGGTTCTGCACATTGATTGGCATGTCAACACACTGGCTTCTCCAGTACATCCACACAGTAAAAAATAATATGACAGGGGACATTGCTGAGAAACCAAAAACCTATCCATCACAGTCACAGAGTTCAGAGAGATACACAGCATGGAAACAGACCCTTCGGTCTAACTCGTCCATGCCAACTGAATATCTTAAACTGATCTAGTCTCATTTGCCAGCATTTGCCTCTAAACCCTTCCTATTCATGTACTCATCCAGATGCCTTTTAAATGTTGTATTTTTTCCAGCCTCCACCACTTCCTCTGGCAGCTCGTTCCATACATGCACCAGCCACTGCGTAAAAACACTACCCCTTAGTACCCTTTTAAATCTTTCCCCTCTCACCTTAAACCTAAGCCCTCTAGTTTTGGACTCCCCTACCCTAGGAAAAAAACCTCAGCTATTCACCCTATCCATGCCCCTCATGATTTTATAAGGTCATCCCTCAGCTTCCGATGCTGCAAGGAAAATAGCCCCAACCTATTCAGCCTGTCCTTATAGCTCAAACCCTCCAAACCCTGGCAACTTCCTTGTAAATCTTTTCTGTACACTTTCAAGCTTAACAACATCTTTCCTATAGCAAGGAGACCAAAACTCAACAGTATTCCAAAAGTGGCCTAACCAATGTCCAAAACAGCACCAACATGACCTCCCAACTCCGATACTCAATGCACTGACCCATGAAGGCAAGCGTACCAAACGCCTCCTTCGCTACCCTGTCTTCTTGCAAATCAACTTTCAAGGAACTATGAAACTGCACCCCAAGGTTTCTTTTGTTTGGCAACACTCCCCAGGGCCCTACCATTACTCTTAAATGAATTCAACGACTGAGCATTCACAACTGTCTGAAGTGGAGAATCACAACATTTTGAATAACTATTATTAATACAATTCACTTGCAGTTTTAATCACAATTAATGGACTGCCCAATATCAGCAAACAGCTACAAGAAATTAGAATGCAACATCTGTCATTATTAGTGTCTCGAATGCACTATCTGAAAAAAATGGAGGCTTACTAAAACTTGCAAAGGGAATTGAATCAATAATTGAAAGGAGTAAACAGCTAAGGGAAAGAACAAGGGAGTAAGAGCAAAGAGTCAACATGGGAGGCATGGCAGAGTGGTCCCTTTCTATGCTAAAAGGCTGATTGCATGATTGTCCTATGATGCACTGAGGTACAATGGCATAGTGCATCCACCAAGTGTTTGCAGGCAGAGCGTTTGTAACATAGACAGACCATGTCTAACTTTTTATTTCTGTGTGACAAGAGTTTGAAATAGAAGTTCGATTACAAAATCTTACCTTTTCCTCAAAGATGTCATGTCTTTCAGGTTTGTCCAACGTCATGCTTGACACAGCTACAAAATATTTTTTAGTCATCAACAGATCCAGAGGAGCTTCATAAAACAGTTGGTTCTTCTCTCTCACAGTGAGGGTTTTCTTTGCAAGCGGCGAGTCAATGAAGACAACTTTCACCGTCGTACCTCCTTGGAAGAGAAAAACAATAAGTGTTTAAACCAGTCAGCTTAGAATGAGCATTGAATGTACAAATACCAAAACAGATGATACACAGGGTGGGGGCCTGAGTGCAGTGAGACAGCCAGCGAGCCCGCCAGCATCCCGGGTGCAGCGGCCGGAGCCAGAGTGGACTGGGGACAATGTCTTGCAAGTCAGACAATGTGCGGAAGCCCCCTACATTGATCTACTGCAGGCCCTTTATAGAAGGACAACAATGTTTATCTTTTTAACTTCATTTCTTATTTTTCTAACTTATTACTATGAATAAGTGTAAGGTAATATGCAAAAACAAAGTTGCTGGAAAAGCTCAGCAGGTCTGGCAGCATCTGTGAAGGAAAAAACAGTTAACATTTCAGGTCCGGTGACCCTTCCTCAGAAGGTAATGTAACTATTTTTGCATCTACGATTTGTACCTACTTTGTATCGAAGATGGTGCAATGTGGGCCAACATTATAAAAACTTTTCATTGTACTCCCGCACTTGAGCACACATGACAATAAACTGAATTCTAATAATTTCCCTCACACATCAAGGGTTCCAACTCAGAATTGAAATAAACATTTACAGCCAACAAATTGGTCATCGTGTCTACCACCAAAAGATCAACAGCAGAAAAAGTGACTGAGGAGAGATAGCACATTGAAACACAACCTGCTCTGAATTGGAATTAACAGGCTTATTAACAAAACACTAAGAATGCAGACTGAGTGCGCGATGGGACAGCAGGTACAACTGCTACAGCTTATGCCTATTATTTCAAAAATATAAAGCCTTAGCATGACACAGTGCCAAGGAAACACATCCGGCACCACTCAATGGCCAACCTGTGAACATTTCACCTGCATGCCTTGCTGTGCTTACGCCCATTCTTTTTAACAGAACATTTCTGCGAGATTGAGATTATCAAATTCATACAACAACATTAATGGCAGGAAATACAGTAGAAAAGCATACTATTATTTAAATGGAGAATTACTGTAGAACGTTGTGGTATAGAGTGATCAGGGTGTCCTTGTACACGAAAACCAAAGTAAACGCACGGGTGTAACAAATAATAAGGAAAGCAAGTAGAATGCTGGTTCTTAATAGCAAGGGGAATAGAGTGTGAAAGCGGAGTCATAGAATCATACAAGTGGAAATAGACCTTCGGTCCAACTTGCCCTTGCCAACCAAGTTTCCCAAACTAAACTAGTATTATTTGCCTGCATTTGGCCCATATCCCTCTAAACTTTTCAAATTTGTGTACCTGTCCAAATGTCTTTTTAATGTTGTAACTGTACCTGCATCTACCACTTGCTCTGGCAGTACACTCCATATATGAACCACATTGCGTGTGAAAACGTTGCCCTTCAGATCCCTTTTAAATCTTTCTCCTTTCACCTTAAAATCTAGTTTTGAACTCCCTCCCTCGAGGGAAAAGACCTTGGCTACGATTTTATAAATCTCTATAAGGTCACCCCTCAACCTCCTACACCCCAGGGTAAAGGGGTCCCAGCTTAGCCAGCTTCTCCTTATAACTCAAACCCTCCGGGCCTGGTGACATCCTTGTAAATCTTTTCTGCAGCCTCTCCAACTTAAAAATATCCTTCCTAAAACTGGGCGACCAGAACTGGACACAGTACTCCAGAAGAGGCCTCAGCAATGTCTTTTACAACGTCAACATGACTTCCCAACTCCTATTCTCAAAGGACTGAGGAAGCATGCTAAAAGCCTTTTTAACCACCCTGTCTACATATGTGATGCAAGCCTTGAAGAATTATGTACCTGCACCCCGAGAATCCTCTGTTCTACAACACTCTCGATGGTAGAGGTGATGGGTTTGAAAAGTGCTGTTGGATGAGTGTTGGCAAGTTAGTGCAGTGTATCTTTTCCTTTGTATACTGTGAATTGGTGGCAATGTTGAAAGTGGTGGATGTGGTGCCAATCAAGCGGGTTGTTTTGTCCCAGGTGGCATCCTGCTTCTTGACTGGAGCTGCACTCATCCAGAGACAAGTGAAGAGTATTCCTTCACACTCCTGACTCAGTCGTGTAGATAGTAAACAGGCTTTAGGAAGTCAGGAGGGGAGGCCACAAGGTGATTTGGGGAGAGCTGCAAAACATGGAGGGAGGGAGGGCAAAAAATCTGGCGGAGGGGGGAATGAAAGGACAGGGAGGCTGCAAAGGCTGGTTGGGAAGGTGAAATGGAAGCCACCAAGTGGAGGGAAGACTTTTAAACCAGTCAAAGGAAAACTGCACTAAGTAGCAGGCAAGAAACCAGAGTCACTGAGGGAGTGAATTCTTGGCAAATGATTTTGAAATCTCAAGCTTAAGGTTGCATACATTCAGGGGCTGCTATAATTGGTTATTATTGTGATAAAAGTGTCAATTGTTAAAGTTAAATGTGCAATTAAAATCTGACATGTAGTAAAACAGGGTAGTAATAGCCTGATTAAAATCTTCCAGCTTTGTGCGTGGGTACTGCAGAAGTATTTCAATTAACTTGTTCAGAGTTGCTATCATGCATCTCCTGAGTGCGAGACTTGAATCTGGGTCTCCTAGGCCAGGGGTAGGGACACTACATTGCATCACAGCAGGGATACATGAGCTTTAACGTCACCAATCTGCAAGTTTAGCTTTCTATCTGGAGGCGTGTCAGCTATTTTGTAAAAACCTTTTGCTGCTAATGTATGAGCACTGTCTGATGACAACTTCAAAAAAATTAGTCCCTAGGAAGGTAATGTTCTCCTTGGTGTGTTGTGGCTTTCAGTTTAATGGTTTATTGGTGATCTTTGAGGATGTTGCTGAATTCTTCTATTTCTACTTCTGTGCGAATCTATGCACTTCATATGTAAGCACAAATACAGAAGGCATGGTTACTAGTTGAACACATCAACTGATAAAGTAGTTAGTTGAGAATGTAAAAAGAGCCCCTGAAAACCAGAAGGTAGAATCATAGAATCCCTACAGTGTGGAAGCAGGCCATTCAGCTCATCGAGTCCATACTGACCCTCCAAAGAGCATCCCAACCAGACCCACACCTCTGTCTTATCCCTGCAATTCCCACGGCAAACCCACCTAGCCTGCACATCCCTGGATACTGTGGGCAATTTAGCCTGGCCAATCCACCCAACCTGCACATCTTGGGATGGTGGGAGGAAACTGGAGGAAAGACATGCAGACACATAAGAACGTGCTAATTGCCCACAGCCGTCCGAAGGTGGAATTAAATCCAGGTCCCTGGCGCTGTGAGGCAGCAATGCTAGCCACTGAGCCACCGTGCCACCCTCAGGAAAATGTCAGGAAGACTCCTCGGAAAGAAAACTGACCCCTGCTGGGCAATAAGATAAATGCAGACAACTTCACCAAACACCAATTATAAAAGTCATTGAGATAGCAAGAACTGCAGATGCTGGAGTCAGAGATAACACAGTGTGGAGCTGGAGGAACACAGCAGGCCAGGCAGCATCAGAGGAGCAGGAAAG